ATGGTACTACGGCCTGCGGGGTCGCGCACGCGCACTGAGGCCGACCAGCTCACTGCTGCCCTCGGGCGGTGACACCCCATTACTGCAGCCTGCAGCCGCTCAGCTCAGGCGTGCAGCAGCGCCGCTCTGCTCCCTGCTGCCCCCAAGTGACGACAAACCAGTACTGCAGCCCGGCGAGTAACCATGCACAATGCCCCACCGATGCTCAATGCTGCCCTCGGATGATGATACCCCAGTACTGCAGGCAGCCGAGGAACGCCTGCGTACTGGGGCCGATCTGCTCAGAGCTGCCCTCGGGCGATTAAATTCCAGTACGACAGCCAACCGGCTCCCGCATGCGTAGTGCGCCCCCCATCTTGTCCCTACTGCCCTCGGGTGACGACAAGCAAGTACTGCAGGCGGTGGGCGCGCATGCGCAGCGCTGCCGTACCGCTCGCTGCTGCCCTCGCGTGATCAGAAACCAGTACTGCAGTCAGACGTCAACCGTGCTCCCTGCTGCCCTCCGGTGACGACAGCCCAGTACTGCAGAGAGCGTGCGCACCGTGCTCACTGCTGCCCCCAGGTGACGACAAGACAGTACTGCAGCCCACCAGAGCTCTCTGCTGCCCTCTGGCGATGACACCCCAGTACTGCCGACAACGGGCGCACGCATGCGCAGTGAGTTCACACAGCTCATTGCTGCCCCCAGGCGATAACATGCCAATACTGCACCCCAAGCGTACCACGCATGCGCAATGCGTTCACTATGCTCACTACTGCCCTCGCATGATTGCAAACAATACTGCAGCCAAATCTCAGCGCATGCGCCGGTTCGGCGCGATGCTCACTTCTGCCCCCCCCACCCCTTCCAGGACACAACGCAGTACTGCAGCGAGCCAGCGCACGCGTGCGCGGTGGCGCTACAATGCTCCCTGCTGCCACCGTTTCATCACTGCGCAGTACCGCAGCAAGCAGGCTCACGCATGCGCTATGGCGCCTCTTTGCTCGCTGCTGCCCTCCCTTGATCACAACTCGGTATTACAGCCAGACTGATCAGGCATGCGTAGTGGGCGCTCGTGCTCATTGCTGCCCTCGCTTGAGCACAGCCGAGTACTGCAGGTGATCGGCGCACGCATGCGCAGCGTCCTCATAGTGCTCCCTGCTGCCCTCGGCTGTCGGAAAGGCGGTGCTGTACTCTGCGGCGGGCGCGCATGCTCAGTGGGTCCGACGTGCTCATTGCTGTTCACGAATGTCGAAAAAGTGATACTGCGTCGACAGGTCGCGCATGTGCATTGTTCCCGTAGTGCTCACTGCTGGCCCCGAGTGTTTAATTAGGGGTACTGCAGTCATCGGGTGCGCGCATGCGCAATGTTTCCGCAATGCTAACTGCTGCCATCGCGTGTCGACAAAGCAGTACTGTACACAGAAGACGCGCGCTTGCGCAGTGCTTCCGCAGTGCTCACTGCTGCTCTCGAGTGTCGACAATTCGGTACTGCACCTGGCAGGAGGGCACATACGCAGTTCCTGCAGCTCTCGTTGCTGTCCTCGCTTGTGCACAAAGGAGTACGGCACCCCGCGGAGATGCGCACGCGCTGTGATCCCTCGGTACTCACTGCTACCCACCTTGTCGACAAAGTAGTGCTGTAACCTGAGGGGGGCGGGCATGCGTACTGGCTTACCCTTGCTCACTGCTGCCCTCAGGTGTAAAAAAAGGGGCGCTGCACGCCAAGGAGTTGCGCATGCGCCGTCCTTCCCCTATGTTCCCTTCTGCCCTCGGATGTCGAAATAGCGGAACTACAGCCAGTGGGGCCTGCGCATGCGCAATGTTTCCGCCCTGCTCACGGCTGCCCTCGGGTGTCGACAACGCAGTACTGGACTCCCTTGGTCTCTGCTGCCCTCGGGTGGCAGAAAAGCAGTACTGCACCCAGCGGGGGGGCCCGCATGCGCAGGGACTTCGCCGTGATCACTGCTGCCCTCGGGTGTCGATAAGCCAGTACTGCAGCAGCCACTACCCTCGCCCCCTTACAAAGAATACTGCAGCCAGCCGGCGCACACCTGCGCAGTGCCGGTCGCCGTGTTCGCCGCTGCTCTGCAGTGTTTCGGTAACGGGTAAGCGAAGGGGCCGTGC